TTGAAAATAATTTATTAAAAAAAAAATGAAATAATAAATACGATAATCAACAAGAGTGTATTACAGCTATTGTAGAAATTACCAAATAAGAACAAATTGCCTTTTATGATGATATCATTAAATTAATAAATAATAATGAACACTTTTGTTTAAATAGTCTCTTAAATTATTTCCCATCTCAATGGCTTATAATGTGTAATCCAGTTGTAGTAGAATTTATAAAAACTCTTATATATAATGAAAATGAAAATCATTATGAAGAAGAAAAACTTTTTAAATATGTTATAGCAATAAATAATATATATGGAATAAAACATTTAAAATATGTATCTTCAATTAATTTAGCACTATCGGCAATAAAATACTCTATAGCAAAGTCTAAAACAATAATTGATATTGATAGTCATATTATAAATACTGGTAGTTTTATCAAATTTATTAATTGGCAAGAAACTTTAGCAGGTAATTCGAAACCATTTCCAAATGGTTTAATATTTATGGCATTTGATAATGAACAAAAAGGCCAAAAAAATTATTTAGATCGTAAATATAATAAAGTGATCTTTTATATGATCACTAGTTTTGTTTTATTTAATTTTGATCCTACTAATCAAATACAAAATTTTAAAAATCCTTGGCTATATCAAAATCTTAATATATCCCAAATTGAAGAATTATTTGACCTTATTCCAGAAATGCAAGCATTGCTTGATCATCAGTTTCATAATTATCTTTCATCTATTATAATTGAACTATGTACAGAAAAAAATAAAGAAATAAATATTATTGACAATTTAATAACTAATCAAAATGCTAAAACAAAAATCAAAAACAATGTTATGATTGTGGTAAAAAAGATATTGAAAACTTTAAGCATAAATGTTCTCAATGTTATGCAAAACTTCCTATACTTGCTGAAACTTAACAAGAAAAAAAGCAAATCATATTTAATAAGAAAGAAAAAGATTCAATTAAGCCATTGACTTTTAAACCCTATCAACCTAAAGAAAGTAAATTGGGTAAATTGGATAAATCTATAACACAAAATTTGAAACCTCAAGATAGTATTAAAATTCCTGATATTCTTGTACCTGATCCTTTATCAATTAATTCAAATTTTGTTGAAAATGTTCACAAAATTTTTAATAATATTCAAAATATTAGTGGAATTAATAATGACAATCGAAAATGGATGTAGTAGTTTGTAACAAACTTATTTACCATTATGTACAAAAATTTAAATCCAAATATCCAAGAATTATTTTATTGCCTGGTCCACTTCATAAAGAAATAAATATGTTAAAAGCATTTATAGAATTGAATTAATAATAAAATAAAAAAAACTATATTAGTAACAATATAGTAAAAATTCACCATCCTATTTAATAATTAATTATTAAATTACTAACCAATATAACTGATTTCATTATATCGCAAAAATATTGACTTACGAGATTTCGCACAATGTCAAGAATATAGAACTGAAAATCAATTAGGTTATTTTAAAAAATGTGCTAATCACCATAAATCATGGAATTCGATGTACAATATTTACCAGCATGTAATGATAATGGAATTGGTTTGATCATATGTTGCTTCAGTCTTTAATTTATCTGTTAATGGTTTTTTTAATTGGGCTAAAAATTAAAAAAATGAATTGTATAAATTAAAATATAAACAGGTATTTAGTAATAAATATTTAAATTTAAATTTCAATTATTAATATTAGATTATGCCTAGATCTTTTGATACCTACAAGCAATTATAAACTTTTGTACCAGTATTAGATATAATTAATCTCTGCTTAAATCGGCAGCACATAGAATGTTTGCTTCTATCTGATTTGCAAAATGACATCCCATTTACCAAGCAATTGAAGTAGCTGATAAAGAACAATTAATGTATCTTTGTCCTAAGATTCATCAAATTATCGAATGTAATTTTGTTGTAGCACAATCAGAAAGGTTAAATCAACATCAAGGATTAAATGCTATACTTGAAAAGATAAATAAGACATTAAAAATGTTGATCCCACCTATACCAGCTCAAAAGCATTGGGAAATGGCTGCAAGAAATTGTACAAAATTATAAAGATAAGAATAAATATAATAAATATAAAAATACACAGTATATTGTTATTATTTATATATTTAATATTTTTTTTCCTAATAAATATTATTTTAATAGCTATGAAAAAATTGTTTACTACAATGGGATATACAGATTCTGAAAATGTCCAGACTACAAAGAGGAATCACAAAGGTTTTGAATTCAGTTAAGAAAAACAGGTTTTCTAAATCCAAATCTAAATAATAGCTTTAATAGTTTAGATAAGAATAATAAATTAAGTGTACAAATAAAATCTTTAGTGATAAAGCCCAAGCTCAACATATAAAATATATTAAAGGAAAGCTTGGCTTAATTAGTCCTGAACCTATCCAATCCATTCTTGTTACTTATGATGAAGTACAATTACAATCAGCTGAAAGTTCATTAAAAAAATAATATTTGCTATCGAAACATTAGTTGAATCCTTAAATGAAACCAAATGATCACAATTTAGGAGATTAAGATTAAAAAGAAAGAAAGAATTATTATTAATTTTGCAACAAGTTCGAGATCTTAATAATTCAACTGATGTTGATGCAGCCAAAGAAACAACATAAAAAAATAGCTAAAAAATACTTTGAAAATTAAAAAAAAAGATGATTATTTACTACAAGTAGTTATAAATAAATAGTCTTTTCAAATATAAAATAAATAAAGTTACAAAAAGAAAAAATAATATATTATATTTATTTAATGTTGTATAGTTGACATTTTTTTAATCCAGCTTCTTAATCCAGCATATAAAAGTTTTATAGTAAAACTTTCATAAGTGTACCTTCTATACTATTATAAGTATACATTCTCTATACAACTATAAGTGCACACCTTCTCTAAAATATATATTTAAGCTCTGTTCCAAATATACAATAATTAGTATGTATTTTTCATAACTCTTTGATAACTTTCTTATTTTCTTTCTTATTGTTAATTGTATTAATAAATTTTTGATTGGTTTAGAATTACATGAATCTTATTATTTATACTTTTAAAAAAAAATTCACTTAACATATTTTGCGAAACCTTTTTTATAAGCAAATTCTTACCTTTGATATATTGTTAAATCACAAATTTATACAATAATGCCTTGGGGAGACGAGGATGCATTCATAAAGCAGGCATCTTTTATATCAACTGTGGAAAGTTCAAGTTAATAGAAGTTTAAAAAGAATATATGAATTTTGTCACTAATAAATTAAAGGCAGCAAGGACTTCTCCTTCACCAATACCCTCTAGGCTTATGACTATTGCTATTGTTAGTGTTGATCAAAAATATCGAGTGAATAATAATTGAATTAATTTCGCTATAAAATTTTTTACTAAATTGATTTTGAATATAATAGAGGATCAGAATACACTTACTATGCTAGAATTGATCTGAAGTGGACGAAAATAGTAGCTGTCACCGAACCCAATGAACTTTAGAGACAAAAAATACAAAAAGTTGATATTAAATAAAAAATTTTTATTGCTTAATAGCAAATAATTGACTTTTATTAAATTCATTTATAATAAATCCACTTATAGCAATATAAAATATCCAATAAAAATATGTTCTCCAATTGGCAAGAAGTAATAAGAAACATTGTTTGAATTTGAATTATTTGGATTGGAAAACAATATTTTACTAATTGATGCATAATAACTTTTCTAGTTAGCGAAAAGACCCAAATTGGCTAACGTAGTTGTTATTGTGACATTGGATAACCTTTATGCTGAGTTGACCATAGCTTTTGCCATATTGTACATGTCTCTATAAATGCACTTTCTCTTGTTAATCTCTAAGTGCTGAAATGTATATTGCTAAAACTTGGCTTCAAGAGTATACACTTATAAAGTTTTTACTGTATACTAATAAGTATGCATGGCATTCTAAAAATACTTTTTTGCCATCTGATAATCTACTATATAAATATAATTTAATAGCCAATCAAATTTAATTTTATAAATAAGTTCTAGAAAATTGTATAATGTCGATCATTATAGATTATATCTATATTCAGTAATACTAAATTTGAAAAAACACTGGACTATAATGTGACAATAGTTTAGTAAATACATTGCAATCTGTATAAATATAACTAGAATCAGCTAGAATAAAAAAAGAGAGAGTCATAGTAATAGTATACACAAGAGTCCACAATAAAAATAATTGCTTATTAAATACCATTTGTACCAATTAATAAAATAATTAATATTCTTACCTTGTAGAATTATTGACCATTGAGGATCCTAAGAGGCATATAAGAGAATTGTGACAGAGGATTAGCCTGGTAATACAAAATAAGAAAGGATATTAATACATATCTTTAATTAAGCAAATAATCTTTAACTCTATTCTTATTATTACGTGAGCTTTAGCTTCAAACTAGCGACAGACTTACCATATACCAATAATACTATATAGATATTTTTAAGAATTCTTAAAGAAAACAAATAATAAAAATTATATATAAAATAAAAAATATATATTAATAAATATATTAAATATATTAAACAATATACTAATAAATATATTAAATATATTAAACAATAAAATATTTTTATTAACATTATTTACTACTGAAAATTAGGACATATGATGTACTAGAATATGTTTATGTAATCATGTCCCATATCATTTTTCTGCCAACAATATATAATTTTAATTTTAATTTATTTCTTTTAACCTAGCTATATAAATTTACACTTTATAAGTAGTTTACATGCTAGGTGAGACTAATCAAAAAGTGAAAATTTTGCTACTAGTTTAAAAAATTATCTAATTTGTTAATCTATTTTTGTTAAAAGTGATTTACTTTACAAAAGTAAGTAGGACAACTGAATATTTTAATACTTTTTATTTTTAATTTTTAAAAAGATAATATATTCAAGTAGTTCAAGATTAGAAAATCCCATGGAACTCAAATTATTATTATTAAGTCATATTTTTATATTATATCTTTAGCTTATATAATTCTAAAACCAAAGAACAATTAACATATATTATGTATTTTCTAGCAAATACTCTGAAAACTGTAGTCTTTGATTAATACAAACTATCAAATTAATAATTTAAAATTATTTTTTTTAAGTAGGTAAACATTATTGTTTTTATTATTTATAAAAATATAAAGATTTTATAAATAAAGTGACAACATTTCTTATATAACCAAATAATTAGCCAGTTTAATGCTAGCTTGCCTATAATAAACTATTTAAGCAGTAAAGAAAAATAAATATTAAAATTAATATATATCAGAAATGGTATCTAGCAGTTGTAAATATCTACTCAGAGTTATATATAATAATATTTAAAGAAAATAAAAATTTTTAAAAAAAAATACTATATAAGAAAAATATTAAAAAAACTAATTATAAAACCTATGATGTCTAGAATACTATTGATGCCTAGACATGCTATTCTAATAGTTTCACTCACTTGAAGTACTTTTGCACTTATAAAATTTGCCAGGCTATATGCTTTAATATATAATAGTATTGATAATATACTTTTTTGATAGTTGATTGGATATAATAGTATTATTGTTTTTGATTTATTTATTGATATTTTATTTGTTATATGGTTTCAAAAATTGGAATTGCATAAACTCACATGAATAAATATATGGGTAATTATTTTTGAAGGTAAATCAAAATTTAAGATATATATCCATTATTCTAAAATCACAACCCTAAATTCAAATCATATAATATTGATTACCATGTAATTAATTTTATTGAATATTAATTTTTACCATTAATTTTCTAAGATTTGATTTTTTTAATTTAAATAGCTATATCCTTAGAATTATATAATTTTGTTTAATAAAAAAGTATTTTTTGAAAGCCTAGGTCTTGGGAGTTCATATAAAAAAAGTTTATTAAAATTCAATTATTAGTTGTTGAGAAAATTACATAATAAAATTATTATTGATTTTCATATTTTAAATTTTTTGAGATTTAAATTTTTAACAATAAATTTAAATGCCAATATCTTTATTACTACATAATTTTATTTAATAAAAAAGTATTTGTTTAAAAGCCTATGTCTTGGACATTTATATAAAAAAAAGTTTATTAAAATCAAATTATTAGTTGTTGAGAAAATTACATAATAAAATTGTTACTTATTTTATAATTTAAAAATTACTGTATAAATATTCTTTTACATCTTGTTTTGAAATTTCAATATTCACCATGCCTTCTTTAAATCTTAGAAAAAATCTTTCTTTTTTATTAAAACCTCATAATTCTTATTCTTTGTCTTTTAATTCTTATTCAAAATCATAAAAAAGTTTTAATATCTCAATTTTATATAATACTGCTTCACAATTATTTGGTATCAACCAGAACAATTATATAATTATTTTGCAAATAATTTTTATATTGGAAAATCTTTTTTTTCCAATTCATAAAATAATTCAAAAACTACACAAATTCTTTATAATATTAAAACCATGCATAACTTTGTTTCTACAAAATATAAATCTAGTATTTTATCATTAATTGTTAGTTTATATAGCAGATCTAAATTAAAAAATATTGGTTTTAATTTTAGCAATAAACAATTTTCTACTGCTCTTAAAAAATCCAACAATAATTCTTTTAATTTAAATAATTATCAAAGATATATTCCTATTTTAAAACTTAAAATTAATAAAGAAATATTTGAACTTATTATTAATTTTCTTTTATAAAATTCAAGATTATTAACTTCTTTTTGTTAATCTATAACACTTCTTTTTTCTTTAGAAAATACCAATCTTGATTTTAATTCTTCTTTAATATATTATTTAGAAAAACCAAAAAAAACAATTTATAATGAATTAAAATTTAAAATCCAAATCTAAGATTAAGTCTTAGTAAATTTTATATACTTTGTTCTAAAAATTTCAAATAAGCACAAAAAAAATAGATATGTGTTCAATTTGTATTGAAGAAGAAAATTCAAAAAAAAAATTATAACAAACCAATCCAAATAATATTTCCCTTATTACATATTTGCAAAATAAAATTAATTTTTATAATAAATATTTATATTTTAAGAATCAATAACAAAAACTTTATAAAAACTCTCTTGAATTAGTAACTACAACATCTTGTATTGTAGTTATAAAATTTAAAGAAAATTTTAAAATTAATGATGGTTCAATCGAAACTAGAAGAGATTTTTATAAAAAATCACAAATTTCTTTATTAGGATTTGTAATTTTTTATAAAGATAATAATAATATAATTCAAACACAATATTTTTATTTTTGGACCAGTGGATCAATAGCACAGTAGATAGTGCTCCATAGTCTTCAAATGCATGTCCCTAGTTCAATACCCACAGGAAGCAAAATGTATAAAATTTATCTTTCATTTGTAGGTTTACTGGATTGCCACAAATGTCATACCCAAACATTCGGATCCTGACTAATTTAGCTAAGCTGCATAAAGATGGAACCTCTGGTCTTTCTGACAATTGCGGGCTGAAAATAGGTTGAAGCAGGAAAGGTTGCATAAGGAAAGACTTCTGGTTTAGCTCCGATAAAAGCCCACAACCTCCCTGGCACAGTAGACTCTATAGCCCAAAACTTTTTATTCAGTTTGAATGGCTTCCTGAATAAGTCATACCCAATCAGCCACATTTTTCAAACTGGTTTGGCAGCCTCTGAAACCCAATCAGATCTCCAGTACCTGCTTGATGTTAATGCAATCTGAATCAGTAACCTATTTACGGGAGAGAGTTGGATCATAAAAAACCAAAAAGGAGACTGCTGGAAAGGTTTTTTAACTGTTGGATAGGATTTTTCTTGCCCTATATTTACAAGTAGGGAGACTTAACATAAACCTAAGTATGAATTCATCCACAAGATATAAGTTGGTATTTGGATAAAAATGAACAAATAGCATCAGTTAAATAGACTGTTCATATAATGACTATATAAAATCTGCAAATGATTAATAAAGTCACACGTGTATTGCACTTAGCCCAAAAAAAACAAAAAAAAAAAACAATATTTTGATTTTTTTTTAAAAATCTTAAATTATGACCCATTATTTGTTACTGATTATATCAAAAACTTCTTTCCAAATCTTTTATGATATAATTTGATAAATTTTGTTTTTGGTCTGATTCTGAATCATATTTTTATTCAGCAGAATTAATGTATTTTATTTTTAATTATTTATTATTAATTTATAACAAAAAATTTTTCCTTAATTATTTTGTTGAATATTATAATAAAAATATTGTTGATAGCCATTTTGGTATATTATTAAAATAGTTTAAAGAAGGTGAATCAATACAATATATTTATATTATTGAAAAATTAATTAATTATTTTAAAAACAAAACACAAATTATAATAATTATACCTCTGAAATTTATTCATATATTAAATCAAAAAAATTTATTAATAAATTATTGATAAATAATTTTTGTTCATATTTATCATTTACAAAATTTAATGATAAATTATACTGTATATTTTTATACTTAGTATATTAATATTATTGATTATAAAATCAATTCAAAAAACTCTTTCCTGAAAATTTTGCATACAATAAAAAAATTATCAAATAAGGAAACAAAAATTTCGTTGTCAAAAAAAAAACCATAGATTTTGGAGAACTCTTCCTCCTTAAGAATCAATCAACAAATCATAAACATATACTCCTCAATGTCTTTATAACCAATATCCAAAGCCCACAAGTCATTATTATTTACAAAAACACAAAAATTAACAAAATTATTGCCACCCCATCTGCTTAATCAGCTTGCCTTCCAAAGTTGATAAACTGTTCAAAAGTTTGTTTAATACCTGTTTGCTCTATACAATGTAAAATAAAAAGTATCAAAATTATCAATGTCTTGTTCAAGGACTACCAAAGAACAAGAATTTCAGCAGTTCAAACACTTGTCAATATTTCAATACCTGAATCAATATCCTTAAAAAATCTCAATTCCTTCAGTATATTTTCCAAATCACAGATAACAACAAAACTGAAGTAATAAGAAAAATCATCAAACTTGATCTCAACTATGGATTACATGTCTCCTGGGACAAACTTAATATCTTTACCTGTGAAGAAACTCAAACTTTTATCTTGGAAGAAAAACCAAAACACCTCTACCCTACCCCCTCCAAACATACCAGCACCTACAGAGGAAATGATCGATGAAGACAATACAATAACAATAATACTACAAATTCTTCTCTCTTAATAATCCCTGTATCTATCTATGAGCCTGTACTACCTTTTGACAATAGCTAAACACAAAACCCACATGAATCTGAAACAACAGATGCATGCACCCCTGCCTTCCTGCATGAAAGCAATATCAAATTGATTAGTATACAAAACACTTCTGAAATAGAAATTGATGAATTTCCTATGCAAGCCGAGCCATAACCATTAAATATAACTAATCTTATATCTTGGACTGATAAGACTAAGGCCACAATATCAGTTACAACCAATGACTAATCTGATAAGGACATTCGCAACATTAATTTAGAAGATGAACAAACCAAAATCCTTACCTACTGTAATAAAATAATCAAGTGCCCCAGGATTCCAGAAGCTATTCTTACAAGAAAAAAAATCAGAGTCATAATCAACAAAGAACTCTTTACAGCTTACCTAAGATTATCTGACCTCATAAAACTAAAGTACTGGCAAGTTGCTTAACTTTTGGAATATGATTTCAACTTTTTTTTTGATCCCTTGCTCCCAAAAATAGATTATCAAGAAATCTATAACAAATGTGATAAGTTAATTAAAAAGAGATTACCAAACCTTCCCGATATACCTAAAGAAATTCTAGCAACAATTAAAATTAAATTATCAAGATCCATACCTATCACCTCCTCAAAATTTATCAAAGAAGTGGCAGAATGCCTTAGGGCCTATTATAACTTTGACTTACTTCCCCACTCTTTCTTTATACAAAGATAAAACCTTTCAGAAAATCCTGCTGATCTCAAAAATGAAGTAAAAGACATTTTCCTTTTACAAATAGAGCTGACTTGAGTAATCTGAAAGAATTGATTGGCAAACTAAAGAACCAATACTATGTCCCTAGCAAACTATTAAAGTCATACTTTAGATTACTACCATCCAAGCAAACCCTTCTATTATCATATACTGATCTACCTGAGTACATTACTAACTACTTTCCAGTGAACAATGATCCAGAAAAAATCCTGGGAGCCATTCAAATCCTCAGAAATGAGAATTACATGCTCAAGAAGTTATCTAATAACTATATTAAAGATAAGAAACCTCTGCCACCAGCACACTGGTATAATAAAAATAATGAAAACATCCTGCCTATCACCAATCAAGACAAGGTTAAAGAATTCATTAAACAACTTAGGAAAAAATTCTTCTTCAAACTTTTATTAAGTCCTGAGTAAATTAAGAAAGATTTAACACAGTCAGAAAAATCTAACATTTCAAATAAACTCTCTTTGATTGAAAAAGAGTTAGGAATTACAAGTGACAAACTCAATAGAGATTATTCAAATTTTAATGCAACAATCAAGTTAATCAAGAACAACTACTGTAAGGGTCTTTCGAGATCTTCTCAAATAATTAAAGTTTTGTAAGGCTGAGGCGTAATAATTTGATCTGAGTATTCTGCTCTTTCTCTAAAAAATAAACTCAAATTCATTCATTAGCAGGCACATTCGTCTACTCAAACTATACCTAAGTTCCCGTTGTAGCAATAATGCATTCACACTTCCAAACTACTCTGAAACTCTTTCAAAGTCCTTTATGGTTGCAGTTTCACCTTCAAATGTCAACACATTTGCATAGTAGTTTATTTGAACAATTATTATTTAACAATTATTATTCCTTTTTTATTTAGACATTTTCGCTCTCCTTATATACATGCTAATTACAAAAAATTATATCAAATATATTAACTATCTCAACTATCTAAACTATCGCTAATATATCTAATTTCTCAACTATATTAAATATCTTAAATAAATCAAAGAAATCAAAGAAATCAAATAAAAGAATTATATTACAGATATCTCATTTTTTTCAGATTTGTCATTTTTGGGATCATCATTGCATAGACTTATGTGACCATGCAATTTCCCTTTCACACTACACAGGGGAAATTCTAAGAGAGTGGATTTCTCCACTATTGCCAGACCTTTCTAATCTTGCCAGCATACAAGAAGTACTCAAATCTAAGAACTTTGTATTGTCCCTTCCTATAGTTAAGGATGGGACCCTCGCAAACAAAATTAAACTCCTTAGAAAATTGTTTTATTTCAAAAAACTTCCAGAAGAATTTATTATTAAACTATAGTCTCCTGACCTGGATTTGACTCTCCTATCCAAACTTATTTAACTATAAGTCTAATATCAACTAACTCAAGTTAATCTTTTATATACAATTTATTTAACAATACTCCTTCTTCATTCTCAATATCTATATCACTTCCTCTTAATAACTTCTCTTCTATACTATTATCTTTTCTCAAAAACTTATCACAATTTCCACACTCAATATTAAAGGTCTCAATAATAAAGCAAAACTTTTAAACTTATCAAATTTTTAAAAAATGAGAGACATATTTTTTGCTATTCTGAAGCAAAATCACAAAATAATACCCACTCCCCAAATCACTAAATAATATTACTATTATCACAAGTCTCTCTAATAACTTTACTAGCAATAATACAGCTATTATTCTAACCAGAACTATAATCAATCACATCTTCAAAACTTTTACTTTCAATGAATTTTGATGTGCTATATATCTAAAATTCAAATCCAAAGTAGATATAATAATTATTTCTTGCTATCTCCCTTATGATTCAGACCTCAGAAAAATAGCCATTAAAACTCTTAAAAACTTTATCAAAGAATACCATAATAAATATCTAATTCTTGCAGAGGACTTAAACACATCTCCCACATATACATCTTATATCAATGCCCAAATCTCAGCATACAAAAGACATATACAGTATATTGCTATCTTTACAAGTTTATTGATATGGCCAAAGTAACAAACAAGAAACAGCACTATACCTACATCATAAACAATAGTGCCTCCAGAATTGATCAGATCTGGATCACCAATAACCTGGCAAGCAAAATACTTTCTTACAAAGTCCATAAACAAATAGCTATAATATCAGATTATTAACAAGTAGATATCATCTTGGATTGGTTCAAATACAAGCCAGACAGAATCTGTTTCAACACCAAAGTATATCAATTTAAAGAGGCTACCTAGAGAACATTAAAGCTTTCCAAGAAGATATTGAACTCATGTGCCTAGCTAACAGCACTCCTACCTGGAACTTCATGAATAATATTATCAAAAATGTCCTTGACAATAATATTCTAAAAAAGAAATGTACATCATCTACCTATAATATAGATTCCTTTAAACACTTTACCAAAGCTATAAAGGTCATAAAAAAAACAATTAACAAAAAGAAAAACAATCAAAAGACTGAATCTCTTCCAAAACTTCCACTACTTATTGCAGCAACATTGCAGAAGATTACCAATAATCCTTCATGTATTAAGGACCTGAAGAAAGTTCTAAAAATTTTGATTAAAGAAAAACAATCCATGTTAAATAAGTTTATCATGCAAGAAATACAAAAAAGTATTAATACAAATTATTACAGATTCTGGAACAGATCAAAAATTGCCTTAAAAAAAGCTTTAGAAGACTTAAAACCCTTTCTCAACCTCTCTATTCTTTTAGGTGATAATAATCAGGTTCATGATAACCCTAATGAACTTATAACAATTATCTCAAACCATTTCAAAAACATTCTTGATCCTAAACCATTTTCTCTCAACAATAAATGAAATCCAGAATATGAGCTCTTAAATTATATTCCTGACAATGCATTCAATAATACTATTATACCAATCTCAACCCAAGAATTGGAAGAAGCATTCAGTGACCTATCCAAACATAAAGTCCCTGGACTTATCTTAATTCTCTACAAAGCTTGGATCCAAATTGATTCAATAGCAAAGAAATATATTCTAGCTCTATTCAATAACACTCTGTTATCGAGTGATATTTCCAAATTTTGGAAACAATCAGTCATCACTCTCCTATCGAAAAAAATTATATAATCATATGATCTTACTGATACATGACCTTCTTTCTTATTGAAACAAACAAAAATATTTTTACAAAAATAATCAATAATAGACTTTTTACAAACATTCTAAAGTATAAGGTCATATCAGACTCAAACTTTGTTGGTCTTAAAAACCAGAGCACCTCTGAACCAATTGCAATTATTATCTCAAGTATTAATACAACAAATAATTTCAACAAAAAAATCTGGGTAGCATCTTTTGACATCTTCAAAGCCTTTGACTCTATTAATCTTTCCAGCCTTAATAAAGTCATGAAATGCATTAAACTTCTAATTAAAATTATTTCTTTAGTTCTTAATCTCATGAATAAAAAAAAACTGAAGCTAATAACTTATTACAAACTATTCAAGCCCTTTAAAGCTTGCAAAGGACTTAACCAAGATGAAACCTTATCTCCTCTATTATGGACCATCTTCTATGATCCAATGATCATTAAAATAACAATTAAGTACTCTACAACTTCTAAAGTTCTCATATATATGGATGACGTTACCTTCTTCAGCTCAAATATGCAATCTTTACAGGAGGTGACAAACATCTTTTGCTTCTTTCTGTTCTTAAATTCTATTAAGTGTAATTAAAAAAAAAATGAGTTTATCATTAATCTTAAAATATTCGATCAAAAGAGAAAACAATTTCTCACTATTGAAGGAGAAAAAATCTATTCAAAACTACTTAAAAAGAGTATTAGGTACTTGGAAGTCTACCTGTCTGGTAAATCCTTATCCACCTTCACAAAAAACAAACTGCTAGAGAAAGTTTAAAAATTTACCATACAATTGTTTCACAAAAGGAGTGGAATGGTTTAATTACCAAACAAGCTTCTCATTAGATCATATCAATACAATTAGACTATACAATCAATACTACAATTCTATTTGACAGAGAAATAACCACCCTTCAAAGGAAAATAAATAGGCCTATCAAATCAAACTAGGTATTGTGAGGGTCTTTCAAAGTCCTCTCTATTATTTAGGTTTTTAAGGCTGAGGCGTAATAATTTGGTCCGAGTATCCTG